TATATAGTTATCTTAGTGTCTTTATACTAAATGCTTTAAGTGTTATTGATAGCCAAAGTTCTAAATGTTTGACCTTAACCTTGTCGACAGTGACAAGAATTATGGATCAGGAGGGACGTACTAATATTTTTCTTCTTTTTGTCTGGAATCCTCATTCAGTAAAACCAGTACTGAAGAATAACGAGCACAGAGCAGTATTAAAGAAATTGCCTAGTCATCTCATCTCCATGGGCTTCTAGCATCTGGTGGAGGAACTACAGATGGATAAATACAATTTTGGAATACGGCCACAATATATACTTGAGCTGCGTGGATACTGGCAATCAGGTAGTTACGTTCATTCACAATGTATAATCTCCTGCCATGCTGCTTTATCTTTCTGCACAGTATTACAAGTTGCAATCATTCATCAAAGAGTCCAGAAAGTTGCACAAAACAAGGGTGGATATGGCAATTTCTCACATAAGTATTCTGAAATTCTATTCCTGAAACAGAATGACTTCTACTTTCATACAAGTCTTTTGGATAATGTGAAATATTTTCTCTTTTTGAATTGTGCAGGCTAAATCTTGTGGGCTTGAAACATTTGAACATTGGAATTGAGAATCAAATTGCCTTATCTTGCTAGCGGTGTATTATGTTCTTGGTTTACATTAAGCACATGTTTGACCAAGTTTTTAAATGTGCTTGGTGTTATAGTGTTAGCTATAGTTGCCTAGTTTTTGGACTAGGTGTGTTGGAACTGTGACCACTGATACAAAATTATTATTCGAGGAAAAGTCTCTATTTGAGACATCTCTCGTTGTCAAACCAAGTTTTTTTTTTGTTTGTATAGAATTGAGGAAAAACTAGGTTAAACATGTTATTTGTTCACATGTACTGAGGATGCTAAATGACTTTACAGGTTTGCAATCTTATCTGGTCAAAGAACATGAATGAGATTGTGCGCACTCATGGGGACTTAGAATCAGATTATTATTTGGCGATATCCAACAATGTCAATGGGTACACTGCAAGCTTCTTCTGAATTCAGTTATAAATTGTACATAACTTTTCTATATTGATCGTGTTCCTCTTCTCTTTTTTTTTTGCAGGTTGCTACCTTGACAGGGCATAAAAATAGAGTACTGCATTTAACTATTTCTCCTGATGGACAGGTGAGCCCTGGTGACCTGTTTCTGTATTTCATTTGAGGCACCTAATATAATTTCTTCTCACTGTCTTTCCACTATCAATATCAACAGACTAGCTACTTGTTCTGGTGACGAAACACTACAGTTTTGGAATGTGTTCCCCCAGGTTCTACTCAGTTAAGTTAGTTAACTCAAGAATATGATTTTGGAACCATAAAACCATTCCTTACATAGTTTCCTAACTTTTGCTTGGTTCACCCTTGTCTTAGTGGTGGAACATCATTCTCCTTGTTGCTTGACGGTGCCACGGCCTGTCGAGCCAACGGCTTGACAGCACCTTTCTACGCGGGGAGACAGGGAGAGACAGAGCACGCGTTGAATCGAAAATGCTTTGGGCACGGCTCCGTCGCTCCTGCCTTACCGACGCTGCTCCGCCGGCCCGCGCCTCCGCCCGCCGCTTACCGCGCCTTCGCGCCTTCGCCCTGCCCGTGGAGGTGGAGGTGATCTCCTATTGCCGCTGGTCCCCAATCCCCGTGGGCCTAACGCGCGGCCGTAGATGTCGGGACCGGCGGCTTGGCCTAGCTCCGGCGACAACCACGATGGAGTGGGTACACGGCCCCCTTCATCCTCCACGGTGACCCTCAGATGGTGAGTTGGTGACCATGATTTTGAGTACAGGATGCAGACCGGCGAAGCTTGCATTTGTAAAATGGTGGTTTGAGGTGAGGATGGGTACGATGGCAACAGTGGGTTCCTGGCGCAGGTGGTTGGATGTTGCAGAAGGGTGCGGCAGCGGTGTTTCGTGGCTCCTGCTCTTTGTGCGCTGCAACATGGCGGGCTCACAGGCAAGTGCTTCGATGATGCCTGCTGCCCCATGGAGCACGGTGCTCAACCTGCTACAGTGCAGGTAGAAATGGACTAATGTTTTGAATCCAGCCTATGTGGACTATGTGTACTATTGCTATGCCAATCTGTATTTTGTGAATCCAGTTCTTGGTGCGCTCATTTAAGGATAAGCTGCCAAAGGTATACATCCAAAGATCCTTCCAAGGTATCCACTTAGATGTTCTTAGTTTCCATTGCTTGTTGCTCTTGGCAGCTTACTAATGTGACTTGTGTGAAATCGCTAGAAATTCTGTCTACCAGTCTGATTTCTCTCATAGCACAACGTATAAACTACTGATCTGTGTGGCCATTTGTTCCTCATCTCAACGTGGATGGATTTGCCATCTAGAGGGCAATGACATCCACAAGACAAATGATCCTCACATCAGGGCATGAGCGATCTGGCTTCCTATTCGCGCCGTGCTGCCCCGGAAGGTAAATCTTGCATCTACATTTTGATGTTAACAAGTGGACTTCTTGATGGATATTTTCAATAAAGACAATACATAAATGGGAAATATAAGTATCTCAATTCTTTTAGAATCAGCTACTGTGTTTTTGCATGGACAAAAAAGTGAACTGAAACTTCTTCTGAGCTCTTGGAATGGAGCATCACACCATGGTCAATAATACTATTATATCTAATATCCAAATTCACTTCAAAGGTGACTGGAGTGAGGGAGAGTCCCTGGAGGCGCTATGCCAACCTTTCTTGTACCCTTTTTTTTATTATTATTGTTCTGAGAAATTGTATCAATGGGAATTTAACTTCTTTCATATTTAATGTAGACTGCAGCCAATTTTGTTGGCGAATTTAACCAAGTGAATAGAAATGTTTTAGTCTGCTGGTTCATCAGGTTTCATGTAGACTGACTTTATGTTTCAGGTTCTCTGTTATCAGTCACAAGATTGGCTTGGTGGTCTCAGATGCCCTAGTGAGATTGATCGACATAGCTGAGCACGACCTGATTGAAGGCACAAGGCACTTTGGTATGCTTCCTCTGTTTCGCCTTATGGTTAAATTTTGTCTTTTCCTGTTCTTATCACAACCATGAATCTGAAAACACAATTATCTAGGTTTAAGCATTCTTTTTTTTCCCTTCTTACTGACCATGGATCCTCTATTTCTTTTTCTTTATGTTTTTATCCATACCACCGTTGCTTCTCTGATGCATCAGTGATCGATCCATTTTTAATTATCTACGATTATTGTCAATGTATAATTATCTCTAATTACTGGTTTTTAGGGCAACTATTAAACTTCCGAGGGAGCGGTACAGAGCACTTGCGGGAGCATCATGCAGCTTTGTAATTTCAAGCTCTCCGATTCCGACCTTAATACAAATGATGCGCTAACCTTTCACATATTTGAGAAAAAAGGGGCAAAATTATTGGTTGATGCAGTGGTGTGCAGTCTGATCTGGTGAATATTTCCATGCAGCTTGGCATGTGTGCGACCACCACACACAAACATCGGAGTACCTGCAAGAGGAGGTCAGGAGCTGCGCATGGAGTAGCAACGGAGGGCAACTAACCGGCAAAACAAAGGATACCCTTGTTTATAAGACTAAAGGATTGGTTGATTGTTAGAGCATGATGGATGGACTATTTTTGAAAAAAAAATCAAAAGTGGTTAACTCTGATAGATGGAATGTAATCTTGAAGCCTTTTATTGTTTTTATTGAAAATTAGCTATTTAACATTGTACTTCGTGTATCAATGCTTTGACATTTCTTTCATGTCGACTACATAAATGTTTGTAGCAAATGGTACATGCTTTGGCATGAACTAGGTATTGATCTGTGTGTTGCTATGGTCACAAAAATTTTGTAAGAAACGACATAATTAAGAACATTTGATAAACAGATTATAATGAATACAACCTGTTTTTTTCGAAATCAGCAGAGATCAGTGCCTTGGATCATCAGCGATATTTTTGAGGAAGCAGAGCAATGGATCATAGCCGGGTACAGATCCTTGTTGGCGCTCCGGCATTGTTGATCCTGAACTGTAGCAAATGTTTCATGTAGTTGGAAACTAATGTAGATATTTTTGGTCTTGTGCAAGCCTGGCTTGCTACTTGGACTTTCTGGTTATTTATTCTCCCTAATTTTCATTTTAATTCGTCATGCAACAAAAAAATGTTTTAGTTATGTTATTTCATCCAAAATTTACAAGCCCGTAGCAACGCACGGGCCAATACCTAGTGCCAAAATAAGTATCTTACCATGGACAACTAAACCTGCCTATATCCAAAGTGAACAGGAACGGGCTCAATGTTTGGGAAACTAAATGTAAAATATGAATGTCTCTTTGATGGCTGCCACGACTATGAGATTTAAAGGCTCTAAAAAGAACACACGCACTCTGACCTGCAGAAAGAAGCAACGCTAACATATGGCAATCTCTCATCTTGCAGTATTGAGACAATAAAATACCAAAATTATGTTATGTTACTCGACAATAGTAGTAATACAAGCAATCAGAGTCACAAATATTCATAACTGAAATCAGTAAGGTGATTCATTAATCATTACTGATTGCCAAAATATTACTCGGCACCAGCAGTATAGAGGAACTACTCAGCAACAACAGTATTCAAGCTGTCAAAGTCATAAGACTCATAACTGCACCTGTTTCACCCTTCTCACATCCGTTCTACACCATAACTATACAGAGGAACTACTAATTTCTCAAACTAAAAAGACCACGTAACAGTTATTCATGGTGCTTAAAATTGTAGAGAGGCTATACACAGTTCAAGCTATAAACGTAGAGAAATCGTAGTCACCATAATACTATGTACAGTCACCATAATACTATGTACCCTCAAGCAGAGAGCTAGTAAGCCGCCGGTCCTCAAGCAGAGAATCAGGAAACCTCACCCTCCTTCAGGCAAAACTGACATAATGATTGGTTAGGACTAGCCGCTAAGAAAGCAGCAGACAAGAGGAAACCATGACAGAGCAGAGCTTTCTCAGCTCATCGCATGGACATCAGGGTGCGCCTCTGGATGATCCTCTTGTAAGGCTGAGCGGCCTTCGGAGTTTTCTTCAGGTTACGCCTCACCATCTTCTCGATCTGCTCTATCGAGCTGGACAGCTTCTTCTCCATGAGATCTGCAAGAGCTGGATCGTTTGGTTTGGATGGAGTGGCCTGCAAGGAGCAGTCAGATGGAGTGGCCTGCAAGGAGCTGGACAGCTTCTTCTCCATGAGATCTGCAAGAGCTGGATCATCCAAAGAAGTTGCAGGGCTTGCAACAGCTTGACCTCCCTCAGTTGTTGGCACACCCTGCTCTGCCTGTGCTGGAGTTATTGGATCCACAGATTGGGAAGAATCTTCTGTCCACAGGATCTGCTGCTGAGCTGCAGCATTCTGCAGACGACTTCTCCTCTCAATTGCCTGCAAGTTGCAGTTATACATCAGTAGATTTCGAGGGGAACACTATGCACGTCTAACATCTAAGTATACAACTTCTGGCAATAAATTAAAAGTAATAGACAAGTAAGCACATATGGGGTCAGTGGTCAGCCTAGAAAGTAACGAACACAGATTTTCTGAACATAAAGCTAAATTTGCCACTTAAAGGGAACTAACATCCATACTCCAGAGGATACTTTAAAAGCATTTCAGTTGAACACTATTATATCAGCTATCAGTAGTTTCATCAGTTCCAATATCAACAAATACAACTCGCATAGTCCGTAACGGTGTATATAAACAACAGCATAAAGATGCTTCCATAATATATGTTATGAAGATAAAACCAGTAAAAATTCACCAGATGAAATTCTTGCAAATATCCTGAATATATATATATATATATATATATATATATATATATATATATATATATATATATATATATATATATATATATATATATATATTGCGACTGCAAATATCCTGAATAGACTGGTCATATAAAGCTTAAAACTGAAGATGAAGTCAAAATCTATACTATGAATCTTTATAGGAATATCAGTTTTAGTAGGCCACGTTAAAATGAATGGACATTTCAGAACAACCAAGAAGACAGGCCGTTGCAAATAAAATCCTCAGCAGCTGAAATGGCAAATTGTCAATTAATTTCTAAACATGATCCTGTATTCAGAGAAATTTCTACACCATCAACAGCCTGAAGTGTGCAACTTTTTAGTTGCAGTGCATAGTTTCTACAACCAAACAAGTACAGTAATTTAGTAATAATGCAAAGGAACAAGGGGAATGGGATAACATTAAGTCAAAGGGAGAATGGGATAACATTAAATATTCAAACTCTATAACAAGTACAGTAATATTATGATCCGTTAAATATTCAAACTCTATAACAAGGGGAATGGGATAACATTAAGTCAAAGGGAGAATAATAAATTTAGATTTAACTAACTGAATCTTTCTGTAAATTTAAGCACATCTAAATTGTCAGGCACTTAAACTGAATATAGCTAGATGCAAGTAAGACAGAATAAAAGAGTGTTGGCAATGCCTTGTAAGAGTATTATTGCTATGTTATATGGAATCATAAGAATCTTTTGCTATGACTTGCTAAACCAATGATAAAATCCACCTGTATATATTTCTCATTCTATGTCATCAAGGCAGCTAACATAATTGGCATATCCTATTGTATTATAGAATAATAATGTACAAGGCTTAACATTTTGAACACCAATTACCAAATCTACTCCATAGCCTATTTTGTTGCTCACTAACCAGGCATTCTGAATACAATGACTGAGAACTCAAACATTGCAACACTGTAGCATATTATAGACTATAGAGTACAGTTCATACACCAGATACAACAACATGGAATTAGACATTATCAGAAATGGTGATGGTGTGCACGGAATTCAGAGAAGAACACATAAAACAGCAAGGAAATAGTCCACCACCTTGACTATTGATTTGATATCACGGAGTGGGGTCCTTGGGTACCAGTCAGGCAAGGGGCTCCTCCTCTTTGGTGCAACCCACACAGCTCCCACTGGTGGCACATTCTCCTTGTTGCTTGACGGTGACAGGGCATGTCGAGCCCGCGGCTTGACAGCACCTTTCACCAGCACAGCTCCTGGCGATTCTACTCTCCTGATAAAGAACCCACCACCAGAGATGTCGGCGAGAGCCGGGCTGCTGGCAGTCCTCACTTCATGCATCTTGTAGTTCTGGAAGAAGTGTATATAACCACATTAGTGATGCAAGAGGCCAAAGAATGCATAATCAGATAAACAAATGAACCCTGAAATCACAGAATTTCTTACAGTTGTTCTGGTCTCTGCTCTTTCGTATTCCTGGTGCCCTGAGTCCTGTTGCTCTTCTCCTGGATCTACAGAAGAATTTGCAAGAAATTTTCGGATGAAGCTAACACAAGCAGAATTCAGGAGGACGCATGAAGAACTAATGCACCAAAAATTTCCTCACCTTTCTATTTGTTCCCGGCCTGGCTTCTGCTCTTTCACTACGACTCTAAGATGCCTACCTGCAAGAAAGAAGAAACGCAGAGAAGACCAATGTATAAGCATCAATAGCACGAAGAAATTCCCTCAAGAAACAAGGTAATCATTTTAATCCGCGACGGTTCTACTCATAATCCCACCTCAATCCTCTACCACCAAGGGATTTACACATAAAGAAGCCGCGAGACATGTCTGAAGAAAGCAATTTGGGAGCGAACCAACGGAATCAGCCCAAGAACCAACCAAATTCCCCAACCGTTTCGCGATTCTCACCTCGGATAGATTCCCACAGCTCCGTACCCCGCACGGCAATCCTTACCCTTCTTCAGATCTGCAAGAACAAGACCAGAGGAAAAACCCATCACCAAACCGCTCGGGAAACTGCAACCAAACAACCACATCCAAATCCTCCAAACCGCAAAAAAAAAAAAAAAAAAAAAAACGATTTGCTCGGCTCCTGCCCAGTCCGCTTCGATCCTATCCCCGCAACGACTATCCCTACGATACAACCCCGATTCGGGTGGAATTTCTGGGTAGATTTCCTAGGGTTCGTGCCTGGTGCTACTACTGCTGCGTTTTGGTTGGGGTTTGGCCGTTGGTGGAGGGCGGCGCAGGCGGGCTTTTAACGGGTTCGAAATTCGAAACTGGCGAGGGCCGAAGGGCACGATGTGCTGTGGGCCGAGAGCAGCTTCCGGACGTTCATTTGTTCGAACAGGAGTGATGGACGGGCAGGATGGTTCCGGTGTATGAACCTGGTGCATGTAGTGTGATGATTTCGAACTTTTTGACCGTTGACATCGGCTCTGAAAGCTTCATTTTGATTAGATTATTGTTATATTATATCTCCTCAGCATGATCAGCGGCGGATACCATTTTCAACATCCGAAATTTAAGGCTCGCTTATCTGTTTTAATTCAGTTGAAATTTTCCCATTGATCATTTTAATTTTAAAATTCAAAATTCACGACCAGGCTCTCTTTTTTTTTCTAATAAAAACAGTGATTCAAAAGGGATTTAGCATTACGGTTTCCTACTTCAAATTTATGTACCCTTTTGTACAAATTAGCATGCGATCACAAATTAGAGACACCTGATCTAAAATTTGATCTAAATTTGGAACGAGCATGTTTGAGAGCTTTGGTCTTCTTTCACTAAGGTAAAGTACATTTTCAACTTTGAACTATGAAATCGTATAGTGGACGCCCTCCAACTAGCAAAATAGTACACAGGCCCTGTTTGGATCCATGGGTTAGAGCTAGTTTGGGCTATGAACTCAACTTGAGAGGCTTGGGTTATTCTGCAACTAGCTTTTCACCCTAAAAACTATCCCCCCAAAGAGGTGATTATTTGGGCTAGTTGGGGCTATTTGAGGTGGGGTCCATTTTTCAAATGATTTGGAAAGCTTTGAACTATGAAATCATCTCTTAGGCTAGAGTTAGTTCAGGACTAGTCCTGAGCTAGAAACTAACTCTAACCTCTAGCTGTGCTAGAGTATCCAAACAGTACACAATTAGTCATCTTGTTGACTTTAAAGGTGATTATTTTATTTTATAATAATAACTATAAAAATCTTGTTTACTATGTGCAAATTCATAAATAATTTAATTTACATTAGAAAAAATGTTCTTGATTTGTTATGATTCGAGATTGTGTGGGATCGCCAGAAACTACAAACGTTCTTCATCGCATTGGACGTTGTGGTCATCACAAGCATCCAACTATGTAAAAGAAGGCAAGATAATTTTTGGGCATGACATTTGGAGATAAGAGAGTTGTTCTCAATTCCCTTGAATCGAGAATGAAGAACAGCTTGGCTGGAAGCTATAACATGTCATTTAGGCACGAGGTTCGAAAAAAAGGAGTAGAGCACCCTTTGGCACATCAAGGTTCCATCCAAACTCTGCATCTTTCTTTGGAGGCTGGGGGTTATTCTCAATCACAAGAACATGGCGCCACGTAACAATTGTGCCTTTTGTGAAGTGTCAGACTCGTGGACGCATTCACTCCTAGAATGCAATATGGCAAAGAGCGTGTGGGCACTTGAGCGATAAGAAATTGTTGAACACCTATGTGAGCCCTAGGAACAAGATGTCAGAGGCTGGCTGGCAAGGATGATGACCTCTCTAATGCAAGAGGACCTGGATTGAGTGGAAAGTGGTAGTATCCCTCTGGCGATCTGGTATATATGCGACGTGAATGGCAACCCATGAGGGTTTATTCCATAGCCCGTTTTATTCCATGTGCATAGCTTTTCACCACACCTAAAGAGCACATGTGTTCTTGTCATGAGCTCTGTTTTGCGCATCAAACTCTCATTCCCTGTTGGAGATCGAAGAATAGCACGACTAGCCCACCACACACGTCTAGAGCTAGCGAGAGGAAGAAGAAAGAGCTTGGGCACGAGATATATAGTAGTACAAATTACAAAGAAAATAACTCAGTTATCTAGCATTATTTAATAATAATAAATCATGCAATATAATCAATCAACCGATCGAACCTGATGGATGCTAGCTGCGGCCTGCAGGTAATAATAAGCTGATGGGCTGTCTCGATCGTTGTGTGTGTGACCGGTTTAAGATGGGTGGATGCATGTCCCAGATAATCGCCATAACCTGAATCGACGATCAACTACCGCTGGTGATGCCATCAACTAGGAAACCAACCAACCCCGGCCCATTTCCAATTTCCATTTAGGTAGACTAGCAATCTACTACTAGCATATTATTGCAGTATCGTCATGGTGCATCATCTATCCTGAAAAGAACGCCAGGGTCTATTCGCTTCTTTTATAATCTGTCTTTTTCAGCTTGTTTTTTTAGCCGGAACAGTGTTTTTCTCTTACAACAAATCAGTCGGAACAGTGTTTCGACTTGTTTTTTCAGCGAAGCGAACTGGCCAAAAGCCTACATACAGGCTTCAAGCAGGCGAAAAGAAGGTGGCATGCATGACTAAGGATGAAAACGATACGGAAATATCCCGAACCGAACCGCAGTCGTTTTCTACATTTAACCCGATCGAATTCGTTTTTTGCGGACAAAAACGGATACTAAATTCGAAAACGAAATACGGAGTACATAATTCAAATTCGCACGAAATCGGTTTGGGCATTTGTTCGTTCGATTTCTACATTTCTACATTATATTCGAAATATACGAATTTAAATTCAGTTTAGAACCGAATTTGGTCCAATACAGGCGAGAGGCACTAGCCCAAAGGCACTAGCCCAAAGATCACTAGCCCAGCCCAATAACGAAGCTAACCCTAATCCCCAAACTCCCACTAGTCCACTACCCTGTCTACCCATCCCCAGTCCCAGTAGATCGCCTGACGATCCTCATCGCCATCCTCATTGCTTTACTAATTAAGCACGATCCCATCGCTGCGTATGTGGTCGGCGAGGAGGCGCGCTTGAACCTCCGCTATGACAGCGCCCAGTGGTCCGCCGCCGTATTGAAAGTTCTCGAGGTACGCCGAGGCAGCATTGCGCCTTTTTTTATAATGCAAGACTTGCTGCTGCACATCGCTTGCCAAAAAACGCCGATCGGTATGGTGCATGGCGGCCAAGGCCAAAACCAAGACAAGACGTGCGCCAACTTCTTGTGCCGCCGAAAAGATGGGCACCGCACCGACACCGCAGACCGCAGCTTACGACTTCTCTAGCGCCACCTCCAAATCTAGGTACGATCGATCTGGGTCTTGATGTTCCGCTTAGTATGCTCTCCTCGCTAGCTATTTTACATTGCCGTATGCTCTCATACGATGGTGCTAGAAGCTTTGCGTACATATGCACTACTAGCTAGCACGTAAGACATATGTTTCTAGATTGATGAAGTTTTAGTTGTGGACGTGTGATATCATACTGAGTAGAAAGTTTCATCTCAACTCAACATGTATGATATATCTTTATGCATCGTTCAAAGATGTTTTCTTTTCTCAAGATTTGTAGTCTTGATATGTGTGTTGTTTGTCAATGCTGGAGCGGTACATATGAGTCTGCTGGCTAGGGACATACACTAATCCCTCCGTAAATTCAGGATTGGAACATCAACTTAGTATTATTCAGTCACGCACTAAGTAATAAAGCCCGTGACACTTGTGTATGAAATGCTCTTTTATTTGGTTAGGCGGATGTATATCGGATATATCTTAGTAACCATCAACAAAGCTTTGACTCAAATGATGTTGTTTGATCAATTGCTCAAGAGTGACTAATAAACCGGATCTACGGTAATGAATTTTATGTTCGATAATGTTCACTTGAAACCGCAGTAATAAGACATTGGTACCGTGCAATTGCTAGTTTTAGGAATCAAAAATATCGAGAGATAAGAAAAAAACACGATAAATTTGTCATCCATTTCAGAGCCACACTTCTATAAGATGCACCGGACCCCTTTCAACAAAGATTTTACTATGTTAAATTTTCTAGTTAACTAGCCATGACAACCAAAGATAGACATGTTAACACACTTGTATTAAACATAAAACTAGAGGCAAAGCGATATATCTAAATCAATCTCAATCGAATCAGATGCGATATGTCATACTCCAAGAGATATTGTCACCAACTATGCGATTGTGAAATCTTTTTTTTTCGGACACAAAACCAAAACCCGATACAAAGATTAGATAAGCACGGGCTATGAGGCTAGATAAAACCTAGTCTTCTATTTTGGTGCAGCATTGATTTGCCTTTTGTAATAATTAATATTTTGTCCTGCAAAATCGATATTTTATTGGAAAAACTATAGTTTTTATCAAAATCTGATATAGTTTTTATTGGGAAAAAATCTGATATATTTTTATCATAGACTCTAATTTATTTTGGTCATTTTGCTTGATCATCGATCTAGGAATAAAAGGTCTCAGATCTTAGAGTATTAGCTCGAACTTGTGATAGTCCAGCCACACAAAGCATCCGTGAAGCGCGCATCAGCATTCAGATGATTGGTTCCAATGCTCCTATTGTTGACATTGACACCAGTTGTGGCCGCACTGCAGCGCCTAGCCCAACTCGGTGGTGCACCAAAGAATGACACACCTGCAGCTCAGCCCAATATCGGGCGAAGATGATCAAGAGATGATGAAGAGCAGCTCTCATCTTTACGGCAAGAGGTACAAAAATGCACATCACATGTCCGGAAGTATTTCACCAAGAAAAAGGAGGTTATAGAGGTGGATGGAAAGCGGTATGAGCAGTTGTGGGGAATACTGCAATTTAAGCTTAGGTGCAATAAGAGGTACAGAGTGAGGGCCCTTGTGGGACGAATTGCATTCAAGAGCCATTTAAGGTCAAAGCACAATGATTGTGGAGGGACAACAACAACTTAATGTTGGTAAGAACACCGGTTCTCAAATTGCTCACATCGTGCCTTTCAAATATGACCAAGAAGTTAGCTTGAGGAAATTGAACTTGGCAATCACCATGCATGAATATCCTTTCAATATAGTTGAGCATGAGTATCTTGTTGATTTCATAGAATCTCTTCGGCCTAGCTTTCCGATAAAGTCTCGTGTCACTGTTAGGAAAGAAATAATTGACAGATATCTTGAAGAAAAAGAAACTTTGTATGCACACTTAAAAACTATCAAGTGCCGCTTTAGTGCAACAATGGACATGTGGACCTCATGCCAAAACAAAGGATACATGTGTGTTACAATTCATTGGATAGATGATAATTGGCGTATCCAAAAGAGAATTATTGGTTTCTTCAATGTAAAAGGTAGACATACTGGTGCTAAGTTATCTAAGACATTCAGTGAAGTTATGGTTAAATGGTACATTGAGAAAAGACTGTTTGCATTGACTTTGGATAATGCTAGTTCAAATGAAGTGGCTGTCAATGATATAATTTCAGATCTAAAAGAGAATGGTAATGGCTCCCTAGTGTGTGATGGGCTGTTTTTTCATGTCAAATGTGCATGTCATATTCTCAATTTGGTTGCTAGAGATGGGTTGAAAGTCATTTCAGAAACAATTAGCAAGGTCAAATCACTTGTGCTAGCTGAAAAGGGTCTCCATTGCAAAGTGGAAGAGCTTATGAAGTGTGCCACCGAAGGCAGTTGGGTTGGATACAAAGAGGGGTATTCAAATTGATGTGTCAACAAGGTGGAATTCTACCTACCTAATGCTGAGAGATGCCTTGTACTACAAGGATGCATTTATTAGGCTGAAGTCTTCAAATCGCCGTAGGTATGCTAAGATTTCTCCATCTTCTGTTGAATGGGAAAAGGCTTTGACAATTTATGGTTGTCTCAAGAAATTTTATGATCTCACTGAAATTCTCTCTGGCACTTCATATCCTACTGCAAACTTATTTTATAGAGGTTTCTGTGATATAAAGATCTTGCTAGATGATTGGTGCTTTAATGAAGATGATACAATTAGAGAAATGGCTGTTGCTATGAATGTAAAATTTAAAAAATATTGGGAACAGTCCAACATTGCTCTAGCTGTAGCTTGTTTTCTTGATCCAAGGTATAAGAAAAGGCTAATAGAGTACTACATGAAGAAGTTCCATGGTGATCACTATCAACTTGCACTCAATGAGTTTATTTGTGTGGTAAAGAAACTATACAACTTTTATGCTAGTTCTGCTCCTGCACCAGCAAAGAAAACTAGTAGTGTGGCTGCACCTGGACCTAGTAACACAGCTGATGTATTAATGGGAAATGTAGACCATGACCTAGAAGAATTCCTATATGATGAAAGTGAACATGCTATGGTTGAGACAAATGAGTTAGAGAGGTATATGGGGAACCACTACTGAAAATTGTTGGTGAGTTTGACATCTTAGCGTGGAAAAACAAGAGAGAAGAGTATCCTATCCTTTCACAGATTGTTCGGGATGTAATGGCTGTACAAGTATCAACGGTAGCATCCGAAGTCGCATTTAGTGCTCACTGGTCGTGTTGTTGATCCCTATCGCAATCGTCTTGATCCTTGAGATGGTACATGCATTAATTTGCACAAAAGGATTGGGTTGCTGCAGCAGCAAGTAAAGGTGGTCATTTTATCTCTTTTTCGCTTATACACTTGTAATTGCAGCATAATAATGCATTGATATTTTCCTTACTTACTAATATTTTGTTCGAGATGCGAAAGTGGTTGGATTAATTGTGAGTGATCTTGAAGTTGATGCTTTGACTAATGTTGTGGCTAAACTGAAAATTGAGGTATGTTTATCCTCTCCTCTGTCTATATTTGATGTTGGTCATTTATTAAAGCTATCTTGTTGAGTGGAGTAGCACACCCACACACACTTTCAACTCCATCTATATATGGTGTCGTGGCATGCATGTACTTGGTCTAAGTAATCTTGGTGGCCCTCTTGGAGGGAGGATCGGGTTGATTGTAGCACAAATAAAAACATTTCTTATTCTCATACACCGATCACACTAATACCCAAAGAGAGTGCATTGCATTATCAAGAAGCCTTTAATTATCAAAGATATGCATGTTCTTAGGAAGGAGAGATGGATCGGATGCACTAGCTAGCTGCCATATGCAACTCGGCTGATTCTATGGAACTCCCTAATGCTTCTCTGTATATATTCACTTTGCAAATTTCTAGGACAAGGACAAGGAGGGCAATGGGGGACTCTGAGGAGGACAATGAGGATGCAAAAGACATGGAGAGCGATGGGAACTCTGATCCTGACATCATGGATGATGCTGATGAGCTCATAGATGTTCATGTTCTGTTAATTGTGTGTCGTACTACTTAAGACCACGGGTCACGCACTTGTTAATTTGAACTAGATCATGCACTTGTTAGTCGCGAACTTGTTATGTATTTGGCCATGAACTTGTTTAATGTTATGCACTGTGGGTCGGTTCGTATTGAATTCTCGTATACCGACCGTGTTCGATATAATTCCGCTCGAATTGTTTCGTTTTCGAAATTCTCGATATTCCGTAAGTTCGTGTTCGTTTTCGTGTTCGGTTTGTCCGCTTTCGTTTTCGTTTTCGTATTCAAATGTAAAAGTAGAAAACGGTTGAGGAGTTCTCCGTTCGATTCCGTCCGTTTTCATCCTTATGCATGACTAGGCTAATCAGCAGCCCGGCCGGCCCAACAGACACCTTTATTTTACTAATAACATACTAGCTAGTAAATAATTCTTTCTTCCTATCCTAATGATTAATATGTTGGCAAATCAGATGTGTTGGATAAGAGTCTAGTTAGCTCATGATAAGTCCACATACATACTGCATACATATAGTATGTGTCAGGGTGCATCATCCAGCACCAGCAGTTGAGATGAGATGAGCTGTGCATTGCATGCATATATAGTAAGTAGTCTTAGTCTATATCTACATCCCTAAATTTAAATTAAGCACGACTGCACGAGTATATTATTGACATGAAAAAACAGATTTGGCTATCTGAATTATACCCCCTCCGTCGTATTGAAAGTGTCATTAACGACGAGGCAGCATTGTTTTTTTTTATAATGACAAGACAACATTGTTGCTGCGCGAGTCACTTACGAAAAACTGTCGTCTTAGTTTTCTTTCGGTATGGTGCATGGCGTTGCTGTGGACACCTTCCTTCCTCTTCCTGCACACCACACGCCTGTACGCAGGAGAGAAAAAAAAGTACAGTAGTATGCTTCCTCCGTACTTAAAAAAATAAGGATGTTTTGGACAAGGTTTGGGTTAAACGTTGGAAATATAAATCATGAATAACTTTTAAGTTGTTGAGTTTGAAAATATAAAAATCATATATATAGATTTGTCTTGAAAAATACTTTGATAAAAATTTACATATATCACTTTTTGATAAATATCTTTACAAAAATAAGTAGTTAAAGTTATGTTTTGGAGACTGTGTCGCTGTGACTTTAGGGGTGTTTGGTTCTTTAAGTCGCTCCTAAAATTCATGTCACATCGAATATTTAGATACTAATAAAGAGCATTAAATATAGATTAATTACAAAATCAATTACATAGATGGAGGCTAATTCGCGAGACGATTTTTTTAAGCCTAATTAATCTGTCATTAGCACATGTTTACTGTAGCACCACCTTGTCAAACCATGAACTAATTAGGCTTAAAAGATTCGTCTCGCAAATTAGTCGCAAGTTGTGTAATTAGTTTTATAATTAATCTATATTTAATATTCTATGCATGTATCTAAATATTAAATGTGATAGGAATTTTAGGGCCGTACTCCCTCTGTCCCAGTTTAAATGCCCCTGTGAAATGACACTGCTACCCCTATGAGGCAATGACATGATTCATTTGGCACTCCACTCGCCCAGACCAGCAGTGAATCACTAAAATATTATAGCACAGTTAAATGGATATTGTAGGCTTGTGGATAGCTGGAACACAGAGAAGGACACAGAATGTTCTAGGACAATTTCTAGCGCCATTGCACCCCATTACAAATGTGTGGAAGGGATGAATGTGTGGACAAGAACAATCGAGAGGTTTCTTTTCTTTTCTTTTTTAATTAATAATCGTCGTTGCCTCGTTGGTCACTTGGACTCGTGCATGGAAAGACAGAATAAAAAATCTACTCCGTGCTGCACTCTGCTTCTGCAAGTCTCTGCTACCGTTCAGCCCTATATGTGTCGATTATTGTGGGAAAAATTTTAAACCCCATAGATGCATTTAAACTGGAACGGAGGGAGTATGCAGAAAAAAAAAGGGCCTTTATTTTTTTTAAGTATAGATCAGGTTCTGGATATTGACCTTTATGAGCACAGATCTGGCTTCTGGTCAGCTGACTGGTGACTGGAGGTGCCGCCGCATGCACGCGCCTCGAGGAGGGCGGCACATGCATGCCTGGTGCATGGGCGGTGGCAGCGCTGCTGGTGTAGCAGTAGTGGCGTTCCTGCTGTACTGTACCGCCGCGTGAGGATTGAGGAACGGACAGGAGTGATGTGTGCGCCTGTGCCCAGTCGATCACGGCGCCGCAATTAATTAATTAAATTAGTGCTACTCGTAGTATCAGACTAAGACTTTGTTTAGTTCAAGAAAAGTTTTCCAAAAAAATGCTATAGTATCCATTATATCGAATCTTGCAATACGTGTATAGAGCATTAAATGTAGAAAAAAAACTAATTACATAGTTTGGTTGGAAATTACGAGACGAACGTTTTGAGCCTAATTAGTCCATGATTGAACACTAATTACCAAATAAAAATGAAAGTGCTACAATAACCCAAATTCCTAAATTTCACGAACTAAACACGCACTAAGGTCTTTTTCTCCCTCTAAAGCTTACTCTCTGTCCCATCGAATAGTTACATATGTATAGAGTATTAAATATAGACTAAAAAAATAACTAATTGCACAGTTTACGGCTAATTTATGAGATGAATCTTTTAAGTCTAATTAGTCTATGATTTAACAATGTGGTGCTACAATACCATATGTGTTAATGCTGAATTAATTAGGTTTAAAAATTTATCTTGGATTACTGATGGAATTCTATAATTTATTTTTTATTAGTATACAAACATGCCTAACGACACTCATGTGACACCTAATTTAACGTCCTAAAACTTTAAATTTAAACCAGCCCTAAAAGCCGATCCCAGATCTTACTGAAGCGAAGCACATGCATCTGGCAGAGAAGGCCTCCTCACTCTCTTTTTTTTTTCTTTTTTTCTTGCGAGGAAAAGACCTCGTCACCTGTGGGCAATATGGCATCCTGGATACTACCTCCTTCAGTGAAAGAAACTATGGGTTACATGCCGTTCATTTTTTTATTAAATTTATAGTAAATAGTATTCATATTTATAACTCTAAATCAATTTATTATAAAAATATACTTCATAATTAATCTAATGATATTTATTTAATATTATAAATATTTATATTTTTTATCTGATCAAAGTTAATATACTAACGTGTGACTCTGTTGTAGAATTGTATTTTTTAGATGGAGGGAGTACGTAGCACTGCACGTAGTCTCGGAGACAGTGACAGTTGTCGACGGCCAGTGGGCACAGGGCACTTGGAGTGTGAAAAGGACACATTCTCTACTACGAGTACTTGCACTAGTGTGGGGAAAGTACGACTCCTACTCCTACTCCCAGGTCTTGTTTAGTTCGCGGTTAGAATCAGTATTTGGTACTATAGTATTTTTGTATTTGACAATTATTGTTTAATCATGGTCCAACTAGGCTTAAAAAATTCGTCTTGTAATTTATAATCAAACTGTGTAATTAGTTATTTTTTTATCTATATTTAATACTCCATGCATATATCTAAAGATTTGATGTGACGAAAAGAAAGTGAAAAAACTTTGGAATCTAAACAAGACCCTACGTGGTAAAGCGAGTGAGCAGCAGTACTCGAGGAACGGTAGGGCCGGTGGGCCGGTGGGGTGCAAAGCGGGCGAGGCCCGCCCAGTTGAAGAGCGGCGTACCCTTGGTGTGTGCAAGTGGAATACTCCAATCCATTCCAGTGACAGCGAGACTGGCTGTGAGAGCAAAGGGTCTCATTCTTTCGTTCCATGTGGGGCACCTCTGTAGCTTTGTCACAAGGAAAAAGCATGCCAACCCCACCACTACCGCCCTAACAGTGAGTGAGCAGCCTCCGACCTCCGTCCCTTGACTGATTGACATATACTACTACTAATAAGCACAGCAAAATTAAAAAAAAAAGAACGAAGAGAGAGACGTGGAGAACTGTTCGACTGGATTGAAAAATACTATTTCAACTGATTATTGTGAGAAGATAATACTGCTCTGTCTAGACGTAAATAGTATTTCTGTAAGTACGCTGGCCAGCCGAGCTCAGCCCAGCCAGCCAGCCGAACGCACTCGAAATAAAGGGCCGGCCCATCCGCCACCGCCAGGGGCCAAGCAGGGCCAGGGCGGGACCCCACCGACGCGACCGTTCCAACGTTCCCTGCACTAATCTGTACTAGTCCAGTCCAGCCAACGCGGCAGCGCATCAGCACGGGAGAGGGAGAGGCCAAACATACGCATCAGCCCATTGATGACGATTAAAACAATTTGCTAGTACGTACTAGTACCATACCATACGAGTTGGTCAGTTGCATGTCCAACACGCCTGCCTGCCCGCTTGCCTTAACCACCACTCCCTCCGACCTCCGTCTAATCACTCGTGATCACCAAGCTAATCGCGCACAGCGAGGCAATTAAGGCCCCCCTGACCGTGAGTCGACGTTGCTGTTCGCTGCCTGCAGCACAGCAACAGCGTATCCGCCGGTAGCCGCGGCCTCCTACTCCGTCCCGTACCGTACCCGTTGCGTTGGCCGGTCTCGGTCCGCGTCTGTCTCCTCCGCGTCTCCGGTCTCCTGCCCGCCCGGGCGGAGAGGCTACCCGACACAACACACGCGCAAGAGGAGTAATAGAGGGAGAGGCCTCCTCTAGTCGCCTTTCTATCTAGTTTTCTTTGTTAGGATAATATTTAATTGGGCTTTTGATCCGTGTCTTGATCGAGACGCTCAGCCAGTTCTAAGTGGTTGATGGCCCCCGTCGCGCAGTATTGTTAAAAGGACGGTGGAGGCTGGGGCAGATTCACCTGAGTCGCCAAATGCTTCACTTCCTTTCAACCTTAGACCGATCGAAAGGGGTGCTGCCAGCAACGTCTGCGCCACCGCCGAACTCCCCTATTTCTCCTTTCCCGATGCCCTACATCACCGACGTGGTCATGGACGGATCCTCCTCCTCCAAGACGGTTAGAGATCTTCTATATCTCCCTCTTACTGTTTCTCTCTCCCGAAGCGTGTTCTGGATCTAA